TCGCCATAGATCTCCACCATCAGCTCCGCTATTTCATCTCTGTCTGCCATCTCCATTCTCTGACTTGAGATTTTTGGGAGGTCCTTCTTCATTCTAATGCGCTGTAGGACATGTTTGAATTGCTCGAGCTCCCCATAACTTAAATCCTTCAGTGTTTCCAAAAGCTTCTTCATTAGTGGTGTCACTGTTACTTCCTGTTGGATTTAAAGTGGACAGAGGACATTTATCTAATATCTCTAGAGTAGAGCTGAAACATTAATTCATTTGCATCAATGTGAGTATCTTAGTCATTAAGAGAATATAGTAACAAATAGTATCCACATTAAGGCACAATGATACATTTGGTGAAATCTAATTTTCAGATGACTATAAAAACAAAATATTTCTATGTGTGCTCATTCCTGTGGCATCATCAAAGCACCGTAAGATTTAATTTAATGCTATAAACTAGTTATCAGTAATTGTGCTTTAACGACTGTCTCTAACTCTCTCTGTCACTGTGCTACCAAAAACAGGAATGATCCACCTGATCACATGTTCTCAATGCTTCAACAGCAGATGTGAGGCTTCTGGTATAAAAAACATTTTCCATCTCTTTATAGTCAAGATGAGGGTCATTTTCAACCTGTAACCATTTAGTGAAAGCTGTGTTGTGTTAAATGTGTCTGATGTGACATTACTCACCTTGTGAAGCAGTTCAGACTGATGTTTCTCTGAGGAGAAAAAAAGGCTAATTACAAATTCTAAATTAGACTATAAACAACTTTTGTCAGATTTAAGTGCTTTTGAATGAAACATAATAATTAAGGAACAGTGTGTAAACTTTAGGGAGATTCAGTGGCAACTAGCGGTGAATTGAAGACTAAAGCAGTTTCACGTTACAAATCAGTGTTTCACTGATGCTGACTGGCATGTTCGAGACGGGCCGATGGTGCAGCACCTCCAAATGTTTGCATAAACAGGATTCTTATTCTGAAGTCAGTGGTCATGCTTTAGGTCAAAGTATTTTGCCTCAATATACTGTGACATCAGCATTCTCTAAAAGAAAAAAATTAACAGCACTTAACACCCGTTGATCTTAAATGTTTTGTGACTGTTTGAGTGGGATAGCTAAATTTTCAAACTTTAACAGGTTTGATTTCATGTTATAGTTTTGGTTGTTTTCCAAAGGCAAATCATAAATTCAAACTCCTTGGAGAAATTCAAACATTTTATCAATGGGAAACATTAACAAGATCATGCTCTGCAGGCCGTTGTTTTGTTAGTCACATAATAAGTCTGTATGCAGAAAAGGCTTTAACATTTTAATATTGCTGCTATATCATAACTTCAGTGGTTATGGCTCTTTTAACAATTTGCCCCAACAATGTGCAGATATTGAGCATGCAGTTGGGATCATTCACTTTGTTTATATGCAATTCAGTTACCAGGTTTTGTAAATCTACGTATAAATGCAGCAGGTTAGTAATGCCATTTCTCCCCTAGACCTGACCTTCTTTAAGACAGTGTGTTGGTCCTGACTTTTTTTTTTTATTTGGGAGTGTGTCCGTCTCAGAGTTCACGAACAGACGGCAGACAGACAGACAGTGTGGAGCTTTGTCACACTCTGAAATCAAAAGTGCAATTCTTCTAAATATGAATCACTGAAATGTCCTACCTTGTAAAGGACCAGTGCTCCTTTGGTAGTCATCTGTAAACAAACAAAAAATGGTAAAGAAAAAAAAGTATGTGCATCTAACATCACACATCTGCTTCACTTATGATATTCAATTAAATGAAAGTGGTACACAGACAATGTACATAATATCTTGTCCCATTATTTAAAACTGACCTTTTCGAATTTTACAGGTCCAAACTGGCTGATGCCCATTTTCTGGTGTGAGCATGAGCTTGAAGTCTTTGTCTGGATTTTTAACGAACACTTCATAGAAGTTTGGATCTGTGCTGTCATATCTGAGCTCTAATGTCTGTGAAAGAAAAAAATGAATAAATAAGAAGTCAGACTTTGAGCAAAGTGCACCAGAAGAGTTTTTTTTTCTTTCATCATATGAGGTTAAGTTGTGGTGTTTTTTTCACTTCCATCAAAGACATCAGAGACAGAGACAGAATAATTAATATCTGCTGTATATTGCCAAATATTGCTAAAATGTCTGGCTAAAAGTAAAGACCACATGGAGCCAGGCATGGTCATGACTGCAGATATTTTAATGTGTTTAATATTTCCTGTAGCAACAGCTGATTTTAGGTTTGAAGCATATAACATACAAGTAGCCAGACATTGCCAGACCAAATAGCAATAGCAAATAAAACATAAGCTTGCTGTTTATTGTGTTATTTTCAGTGGTCCATGTCATAATTTATTTATTTACTTACGTATTTATTTGGCATTCAAGAACCTCAGCTGCTGTAAGGTTTTGGTGATACATCCAATTTAATTTCCAGAACAACAATCTGAACTGAAATAAACACACACAAATTTGGGAATGCTCCAAGCTTTACTTTCTGTGAAAGGAAAAATAAGGGGAAGACATTACACTTTGACCTAGAGTGCACCATCCTATTTGTTTTTCTTCATTTTTGTGTTTTCAAATGAGGCCAAGAAAATTCTGGTGGCATTTTCACTTATGTCAACAACAGACAGGGATAGAATACAGAGAGACTTTGGTGGACTAAAGTGGATCAATTCATGCAAGTATTAATAATGATATTACTGAAAACAAATTCTATGATAATGTCTGTTTTTAAATGTTTTGGGGTGTTTTTGATATCCAAGAACCTCTGCTGCTGTGAGGTTTGGTTATATCCAAGTCAAACACCAGGGAAAATGAAGCTGCATGTGCACTAAGAAAAAGACTGCAGTAACTACATCAGGGTTTTTTTAGCTTTACTGTACACTGTGAAATGGTAGGTAGGACAGGGCTTAATCTTAAGTTTATTTTATCCTCTCAGCCGAATACAAACACAACAAAAAGACACCTGTTGTTGTGAAGCACTTTGTTTTTTTATATCTGTCAAGAATTAACTACAACAAACCGCAAGTGACACACACCTCGTATCATTCAGATGTTGGCAGAGCTGTACTGGAAGCTTTATAGGAGCTCTAAACACAGGTAGTTCGCAAAGGTGTACCTACTTCCTGATGGTGACAACTCATATTCACCATATTGTGTCATATATCACCAAGGATTTCCGGCCCTTTTCTCATCACTCAGGACACATACGGCAGAGTCATACTGTGTTGTTGTTGACCAGCAATCTTGCCAGACATATTCATTTTTTGCATGAGACCAAACAGTGAGTGAAAGTAAAGTCTGATGATTTTGTTATGATTTCTTGTTTATATATCTGATAAAGCAATTATTGTTCTGTGCTCATCACAGCTAACTTCATTAATTGAAAAACAGTTTAAAACATACTTCAGGGAAAATTTTTGCACCATCCACATCTGCTGTTAGGATGAAACGATCATGCATTTTCAGGGGCTTCTCTGGATGTGGCTTTAGGATTTTTGTGAATCCATAAGATAATTCCCTCTTGTCCACTTCCTGTGGAAAGAAGAAAAAAATTCTTAACACAAAGTTTGTCCAAGGTTAAAGCAGCCAACATGGTTGCCTGTGCTGTATCTTACTATTATTAGTATTGGTGACAGTACGGTATGAAATAACCTGTTGTAGAGCAGGATCTCGTGGCATCAGATAAACATGGAATGTGAGGAATGGTCTGTAGGACTTGTATATTAACACCACACAGCTCCTTTTCACTGAAAAGCCAAATTTCATCAGGGCCGCTTTGGGGGAGAAAAGCGTGACTGTCGGGTTGTAATCTGCACACAATACAAATATGAGGAGAAAAGGATTGCATCAGTTTTTGTACATATCCTAACAGATATTTAAAGAGTTCTGAAAAATACTACTGTTGTTAAGATTATTCTGCAGTCATAGAAATAAATGTGGTGTTGTTGAACCACTCCCTGTTCCTAATGTTCTCATATTTCTCAGATTAAACAAGATTTGAAAGCAATGTCACAATGAAATCTAAAATCTATTTATTAAAATTTATGAGAAACATATGATTGTGTAATGTGGCAGTTTTTGTCTTCTTTCTCTGACCTTTGATTTTTGAGCTGATGACTGACAACTTCTTGACCAGATCGGTCCTGTTTATGTCCATGAAAACCTCCTTGGTCACCTCCACAGACTGCTGGTTCTCCACCATCAGATTCACTAATGCAGCTGCACTGCCTGCCTGCTTCAGTCTGCCCCATGAGGTAAGTGGAATTTTTATCGCGAAGACATTTCAAGGCTCCAGCTTCCCAAATGTGAGGGTTTTCTTTTTTTGCTGCTTTCTATTAATTAATTATTTTTATGTTGAGGTTTGAACTGTTGGTTGGACAAAACAAACATGAATGTGTCACTTTGGGCTCTGGGTAAGTGTGACACTATCTCTCACTATTTCCAGAACTTTTACAAACCAAATAATCAATCAATTAATGAAGAAAATAATGAGCAGATTAACCCATATTGAAAATAATTATTAGTGAGCTCCACCTCAACCAACTACAACAGTAAAATCATGCTTTTACATTAATGCATGAGTCAAAATTATCTTATGATATCATATATAGTAGAGGACAACAACATTTACAACATACAACATTTTTACAGTACTTTTACTTGTAATACTTAAAGTACATTTTCCTGATTATATTTACATACTTTTACGTAAGTAATATTTTAAATGCAGGACTTTCACTTGTAACCGAGTATTTTTACAGGGTGGTATTAGATACTTTTATGAGAATAAAGGATTTAAATACTTTCTCTCCTGCTCCAAGCCCTCTGGTCAGGGTGAAAGACTCCACGGACATAACACACCTGCTTCTTCAACAGTGTTGAATGGTTTTAGCTGTATTTGTTCTTGCACACAAACTTGAAAAATGTTCCCATTTTTACATTACATTTTTACATTATTTTCACATATTTCTATCTTCTTTGCTTTACCTTTGCTTCCTGAGCCAGTGTCTGATAATCTCTTCACCAGATCGGTCCTGTTCATCTTCTTTAGAATCTTTTTGGTCAACTCCACACACTCTTCACTGTACGTCTCCAACATCAGCTCCACTGTGTCCTGTGTGTTTGCCGCTTTCAGCCGACTCCTTGAGATGGGTGGGATGTCTTTCTCCAATTCAATGAGTGATTTGAATTTGTCAAGCTCCTCTGGACTCAAATCATTCAATATTTCACAAAGCATCTTCTTAGCCGTCATTGTTTCTACCTGGAAAATTAAAAGGACATATCATGCAGTACATGCAGGATAGGATGTATGTTCTTTATGTCACCTACCACTGTTATTGAAAATTGATCTCTTTGCATTTCAATAATGCCAATTATTGATGTGTCTCCTCTTATTTTCATTTCCAAAATGAACTTACAAACTGTGACTGTGTATTTAAAACTAGAATTACTGCCTCAAAGTTATTTTCCTCCTTGAACCAGTCAAGTTGCAGTTACAGTTTACATCCATGTCTGTCCAGACTCATATGCAGCCATGACAGTTGCTACAATGCTTCAGAGATGGATGTTGCTGCAAAGAAGCCATAAATTCTAAAATGTGAAAGCTTAACACACATCATCCACCTGACAGCACATAAGAACTACACAGTTATTACAGTTTCAAGATTGACACCCAAAATTTAGTATTTACTATTTTAGTATCCAACACCAAATGTCTCTCCTTGTGTTTGTGTTTTGAGTTATGATGTTGAATAAGAAAGGTGTTTTTTGCATAATATTATTATGATTCACAGTGAATCTTTTTGGATATAAAATGTCATCACTTCATTATTTTATCCTATTTCACATTTGTGTGAAATTTTATTGTAATTAGCATATGAATCATTGAGTTATGGCCAAAGACATATTTTGGGAGGTCACAGAGACCTTTGACCACCAAATTTCAATCAGTTCACCAGAGTCCAAGTGGACATTTGTGCCAAATTTGAGGAAATACCCTCAAGGCCTTTTTGAGATATTGCATTCCCAAGGATGAGACGGACGCAAGGTCACAATGACCTTGACCTTTGACTGCCAAAATCAAATGAGTTCATTGTTGAATCCAAGTGAAGGTTTGAACAACCCTTATAGTCTGGGTTATTTGTGGCAAATTTGAGATTAACTTTTTACTCTTTCATAAAAACATAAAAACTGGTACAGTTGTACAGTTTCGCGCCATTTAAAAATGGCGGCCATTTTGAAATTTACGTGGCTAATGGTATTATTTAAAAGAATTACCCAAGAGGTACACTCAGTCAAATTTTGGTGCTTCTTTCCAGATTTGAAAGATTTTTTTGCTTATCTGCTCAGCTATACTGAAGACAAACTGCATTATGTTTAGTCAGAGTGATGTGACATTACTCACTCTCTGGATCAGTGAAGGCCACTGTTTCTCTGAGGAGAAAAGAAGTAGAAAATGACCTATTAGTAATTTATATAACATCAGGCTTAATGAACATTTATTGTTTTTATTTATTTATTGTTGAAATGATTTCATCCCAAAGCGACACTAAAACCTCCTCAACAGTGACAGAATTTTAATAATGATATGTGGTGTTACTTGAAGATTTTCCAACAGTGTTGAATGGTTTTAGTTGTATTTGTTCTTGCAATATACACAAACTTGAAAAATGTTCCTATTTTTACATTACATTTTTACATTATTTTCACATATTTCTATCTTCTTTGCTTTACCTTTGCTTCCTGAGCCAGTGTCTGATAATCTCTTCACCAGATCGGTCCTGTTCATCTTCTTTAGAATCTTTTTGGTCAACTCCACACACTCTTCACTGTACGTCTCCATCATCAGCTCCACTGTGTCCTGTGTGTTTGCCGCTTTCAGCCGACTCCTTGAGATGGGTGGGATGTCTTTCTCCAATTCAATGAGTGATTTGAATTTGTCAAGCTCCTCTGGACTCAAATCATTCAATATTTCACAAAGCATCTTCTTAGCCGTCATTGTTTCTACCTGGAAAATTAAAAGGACATATCATGCAGTACATGCAGGATAGGATGTATGTTCTTTATGTCACCTACCACTGTTATTGAAAATTGATCTCTTTGCATTTCAATAATGCCAATTATTGATGTGTCTCCTCTTATTTTCATTTCCAAAATGAACTTACAAACTGTGACTGTGTATTTAAAACTAGAATTACTGCCTCAAAGTTATTTTCCTCCTTGAACCAGTCAAGTTGCAGTTACAGTTTACATCCATGTCTGTCCAGACTCATATGCAGCCATGACAGTTGCTACAATGCTTCAGAGATGGATGTTGCTGCAAAGAAGCCATAAATTCTAAAATGTGAAAGCTTAACACACATCATCCACCTGACAGCACATAAGAACTACACAGTTATTACAGTTTCAAGATTGACACCCAAAATTTAGTATTTACTATTTTAGTATCCAACACCAAATGTCTCTCCTTGTGTTTGTGTTTTGAGTTATGATGTTGAATAAGAAAGGTGTTTTTTGCATAATATTATTATGATTCACAGTGAATCTTTTTGGATATAAAATGTCATCACTTCATTATTTTATCCTATTTCACATTTGTGTGAAATTTTATTGTAATTAGCATATGAATCATTGAGTTATGGCCAAAGACATATTTTGGGAGGTCACAGAGACCTTTGACCACCAAATTTCAATCAGTTCACCAGAGTCCAAGTGGACATTTGTGCCAAATTTGAGGAAATACCCTCAAGGCCTTTTTGAGATATTGCATTCCCAAGGATGAGACGGACGCAAGGTCACAATGACCTTGACCTTTGACAGCCAAAATCAAATGAGTTCACTGTTGAATCCAAGTGAAGGTTTGAACAACCCTTATAGTTTGGGTTATTTGTGGCAAATTTGAGATTAACTTTTCACTCTTTCATAAAAACATAAAAACTGGTACAGTTGTGCAGTTTCGCGCCCTGAACTTCTAAAAAATTTAGCCATCGAAAAAACACCTCATGGCGAACTAGGCGGCCATTTTACATTCCATCATCACCGAATTATGTATTTTGCATATCACCACATTATAACACAGAATAAATGACATCTACCCCTACGTGCTGACGGTCATGGATCACAATGATACCAGATACAACATCATAAACATTATAAATAACACTTTATAAAGATTAGAAGTACATTTCTAACACATGAAGCTTACCACAACACATACCAGGTTCCAGACATACTTTTTAAACTGAATTGCAAGAAATTGCTCCCTAAATGTGTAGAAAACTCATAAATGGTACACTTTGCAGCCCTGTTGTATGCTATGTTTTGTCATACTTACTTCTAATGACAAATGAAATGCTAAGGAAAAAAGTGAAGTTAAGAAATATGACAATGAGACAGTCATAGTCTTGGCCACAGCTATGAATGATTATTAGACTAAATGATGTTCACAAAATGTCTGTTTCGCTTTTTCCTGAGCTTTTAACACCACCCCTTGGTCTTCAGCAGCAGACAGCGTTTGTTCAGTGGTCATGAGGACGTTAAGTGTTGTCAAACTACTGCCTCCGAGGTCAGACGCTGTTGCCCTATGCTGTTTACGGTTAACGTTAGAGTCACTGCTAACGTTAACTGTTAACGTACTTCTTGTTAATGCTAACGTTTATTAGGTCGTTTGGCTTTCAAATATACACACACACACACACACACGTTTAATGTTAAGTTACGTCTCAACTGATTTACAATCAATTTCATAACTAACGTCTACTGTCGAAACAAACTTAGCTAACATTAGCAGCTAACGTTAGCTAGCAACCTATTTTAGAGGTTAGCTTACAAACGTTGGCTAAATGTTACGCTAACGTTTGCTAACGGCTGTCTGGAAGAAGCCCAACGGTAAAAGTGAAAGTAAAAAACGAACCAGAGTGACAAAAGTTTTAAACATAACTTGTAGCTGCAGTTGTTGGAGCTGAAATCCGTCCACTTAACGTTAATGTTTAAAAACTGCTGTTAATCACTGTGACGTTATTTAAACGAGTTTAACCGTGAAGCAGTGATCTGCTGTCCGGTGTTAACGTTCAGTATTCGTGCTGTTGGACGGGTGAGTACTCACCGTGTGTCTTTGTCTCTCCGTCCGCTTCTTCAGTGACCCAGTTTCAGTATCTGCGAACTTTCAAAAATAAGGAAAATTTAAACTCCAGCCGTATTTCTACATTTGGCTCGTTCAGAAACCTTAAGACGAAGAATAACCCCACAATAACAGGAAATCTGACATCCTGTTAACTTCACAAACAGTGGACCCACCCACCCCCTCTTATCTTCTCAAACCATCGGCCACACCACTGCACACTGTTAAACACATGATGTTTTTATCATTTCTAAAAATGCACCACAATACTTATTCCACTGTATTATGAGTGTTTTTAAAAGGGGGGTGTTTAATAGTTTGCAGCCTTGAACTCCAACGGCAAAGCAAAATGATAACTGAATTTAACTAACAGATAATAGTAATATAATATTCATAAACTGTATTCGTAAAGCACTTTTCAAGACAAAATTACAAAGTGCTTTTCATGATCAAAGCATCCCAGGACCACAGTGAGGCAAAATAAAAATGAGACAATTAGCCTAAGATAATACACAAAATAACGTGCAGTGAACAACAATAATAATAGTTTAAAAAATGGCAATACTGGACAAAGGATACATGCTGGAAATAATAAATAATAATATTTATTTTTTTAAGCTTTTAGAAGTTATTTAAATGTTACACTTATTCTGCAAGCCTCACATGTCCAGGCAAGGAACATTTGTTACTTCTGTTTAGATTAACTGTTCTTTTTTTTTTTTTTTAATTGCACCACAATATTTATTCAACTGAAATATGTGGGTATTTTTTAAACTTAAATTTTATTGCTTTTTTGCAATTTCCTTTTTTCTCTCTCTCTCTCTCTTTCTTTCTTTTTTTATAGGACAGACAAGCGTGAAGGGGGGAGAGAGAGAGTGAGTGACATGCAGCAAAGGGCCACAGGCTGGAGTCGAGCTCTGGCCGCTGCGGCAACAGCCTAGTACATGGGGCGCCTGCTCTACCACTAAGCCACCAGCGCCCCTTTTTTGCAATTTCTTATCACAGAACAAACATACAAAAACAAAACAAACCTGCCGTGTCCCTGATGTGCATTACAATTACACAGGGCATTACAGCACTCATCCTAGTGGGCCCCCTGACACATGTTTACCATGACCATCAAGAGATTTAGGTGGTGTTTCTGCAGAGGGCATTATATTCAGTCCATTTGGTCCATTTAAATGAGTCTTTCCATGTCATAGATCTCCTCAACAATGTCTTTTCAGTCATGTAGTGAAGGGGAATCCTCTTTGTGCCATTTCCTGGTAATAGCCTTCTTTGTTGCTGTTAAAAGGATTTCGACTAAGTATTGCTCGTTGAACAGTTTCTCTTGTCAGGTTGCTTAGGTATAAGACCTCCCATGTGTTCAGTATCACATATCTCAATATTGCCTTAAGTTCAATCCATACATCGTTCCAGAGTATGATCCACACTTCTTTCCCCATACAGTCTCCAGCATGCCTCTTCTACAGATGTAGATTTACTTTTTATCTGAGGAGTAATGAAAAGTCTGATCATGTTTTTCCAACAAAATTATTTCCACAATCCTGGAGCTGGTGGTTGTTTGCATGTTGCATATGTTAAACCAGTCTTCTTTTGTTGATTGTATTTTGCTTTCTTGCTCCCATTTGTCCCCAATATAGAGTGTGGAGATTCCTTAGTTCATGACTAGCCCTTGATAAAATGCTAATATCACTAGCTGTTTTGCTCCTGTATGCGCTGCACAGGGTCACAGTCACTCTGTTTGGCTCAAATATGAGTGTTTTCTAAAGGGGGGCTGCAAGACTGATATAATATTCGGGGTCAAAGTCCAGAGAGAGCAACTGTTTCTACTCCTGTCACAGCCCAGGCTCAAATAGTAATTCAAACACATTTTTATTTGAAACTTAACCGAAGACATTTAAAATTACTCTGTAAATTCATTTAAAGTTTGTGAATATTGCTACTTAGACTGTTTCTCTCTCAGGCTGACACAAAGAAACTAATGCATGCCCTTTTAACCTCTAGGCTTGACTACTGTAATGCTTTCTTGTTTGGTCTATCTAAAAAAAAAGATGTCAGCCGCCTACAATCTGTTCAGAATGAAGCAGATACAACACTAACGAAGACCAGACAGACGGCACACATAAATTCTATCTTAAAGTAATTGCTGCCACTTTGTTTTAGTGTTGATTTTAAGATTGTCCTATTAGTTTTAAACCACTGAACAGCCTGGCACCAGTTTATCTCTCAGACATGCTTCTGAGATGAGTACCTGAGGCCTCCTGGTCGTCCCAAAATTTCAACAAAATATCCACTTTTTAGCCAAGTCTATGGAACAGTCTACTTGAGCATCCGAAGGACCCCACCTCAGCGGACATTTTATAAAAGAAACCTTAAGACATATCTTTTTAGCTTGGCTTTTAATTAATGGTGCCTCATCATTAGAGGCCTCTGTTTTTTAGTCCTGTCTTTTATCCCTTCTGACAATTATTTATTTAAAAATTTAATGTTTATTGTTGTATGTACTTGTTTCCTTTTTTCTGTGCTGTTTTTATCCTGCTCTGTGAAGTCAGGCTGCATGACTGTATGAAAGATGCTTTTCTTCTGCTTATCCAAGGCTGGGTCGCGGGGGCAGCAGGCCAAGCAAAGCACCCCAGATGTCCCTCTTCCCAGCAACACTTTCCAGATCCTCCTGGGGGACCCCAAGGTGTTCCAAGGCCAGATGAGATATGTGTGTGTGTTCTGGGTATACCCCGGGTCCTCTTACCAGTGGGACGCGCCTGGAACACCTCTGATGGGGCATCCTAAAAAGATGTGCTACAATTAAAAAAGCCTTGATGTGTGACATAAAATATATCACTTAAGCCATCTGCAAGTCTCACATCTTCAGGCAGGGTGAATTTGTTATTTCTTTTTTAGTCTGTCGTAGTCACTTCATAGGAAATCAACACTTTAAAAGGAATTCTCAATTCTTAACTCGCATTGGAATATAAAATGTTTCCTAAAAGAGAAAAATAACAACACATCCTGGCCTATTAACATACATTTGCACCTGAAGCATGGAAGACAAGCACAAAATACACATGTGAAATGTGAGGGTCCTAAGGACAAAGGGATGTCGTATGCTGTAAAGCCCTGTGAGGCAAATTGTGATTTGTGATGTTGGGCTTTATAAATAAAATTGATTGAACTGATTCAAAAAAACACCTCATTTGCTGTTAGAGAAGAGGAATGATAGATCACTAAGTGTTTGTATGCCACTCATCACATTCATAACATTTGAGAGAACCTGCAGCACTATTCTACATCCAAATATTGGAGAAAAGTCTTTAAAGTCTTGGATATTGAAACAGCGTTTGCAGGAAACATTCAGCACTACTCCGTTGTTAGGCATGTGAGAAAAAAGGTTTTGAGAAAGAAGCACAAAGTTGTGAAAAATACCAGTATGAATCCCTCTGAACAAGTACTAACATTAAAATAATGTTGAGATCGATGTGCACATTTCTAAAAACCTGGAGGAAAATATGAGCACATATTTATAAACTCTATTACATTGTTGTATTTGCACCATGCACTCCATTCATTCAAAATGTAAGAACCACACACAGCAATCAGAGGATTTTATGATGTATTTTTATTCATTTGTAGACTTTTTTGTTGCTGGACAGAATAAAAGTGATTAAGGCCATCTTTCAGCATATTTGGCATTAATGAAAAGTAAAACTTGCTTCACATCCAAAATTTATGGATTACATTCATGATCAAGCACATTTTACTTTACATAAAATAATTAGGTTTAAGAAAAGATTCTCATTCCATTTGTTTGACGAACAAACATTTCATGTCTGGTAGGAACCTTCAATCATAATTGTCTGATAAACATTTCCTTAATGTGGTTTTAAACCTCACAGGAAAAACTCTTATTATCAGGGCAGGAAAGGCACTACACACCATACAAATTTAAACTAATTTAAGTAAAAAAAATTATGACTAAAAAAAAAAACGTTTTCTTTGAAAACCCCACACAGACTTAGTATTGCAATTATTTCCCAATTGTTGTTGTATAAAAATAAACATTTTTTCATTCAGGTAGATTGTATGTTTGGTCTAAAACATGTATTTCCCCACAACATTCACTTCTTCCCCATAAGCTCATCAATCAAATATTTTTCCGTTTCCTTAAGGATGTTGAGGAGGATGTCTTTGCCAACATCTCCAGCGGAATTCAGGGGACCAGAGTAGAGCTTCCTCATCCTATCCCGATGGGTAGGGATAGCCAAGATTTCATCATAGGTCCCTTGTTGGATGACTGCATTCTCAAGGAGCGCATCCAAAACTGATGCAGTCTCGCACACTCTGTTGATCAGCTGGCTTCTATGTTTATCCACAAAGTGCTTCCCTGAGGAAAGAGGGAAACATTACTTCACAATGACTGACTGGATTTGGAGAAAACATGAAGGTAACTTGGTATATGTCTCAGGAAGGGACTTAAAGGCCCAGTGCATAGGATCTAGTGGCATCTAGCCTTCAGGTTACAGAGCTGGAACTTCTCCTGTGTGCTGAGTTTGTTGGAGAACTACAGAGGCTAACACAAAAATGTGAATCTCAAGCCGGTGTTTGATTTGTCTGTTGTGGGCTACTGTAGAACAACATGGCAGACTCTGTGGAAGTGGACCCGCTCCACATGTAGATATAAACGGCTCATTCCATACCAACAGAAACATAACGATTCTTATATTATTATGCATTATATTAATATTGTATATACTAATACATATATATATGTATATATATATATACTTAGGTGTGTGTTTTTGTTAATACACACCCTCTATGTGGCTATAGCATAGACTATAAAGCTTAGTGACTTCAGGTGTTGGTACGTTCGTGACCCTCCAGGGGTCAGTGTGCAATTACACACAGGTGTACCCAAACTGCGTACACTCTGTGTTCAGTCAAATGTCATTAGGATTGTATGTATTTTCACAACCTCCATCAATCAAACCGGCTAACTTTGTAGGTGTAATCAGAGTACTTGCAAACAGGCAAATGCAACAGCTGCTACATCCTGTTATTTTTAATAAATAATATAATATAATCAGATAATATACATTATCCAATCACATCCTAGGTGTGAAATTAACATAAAAACATTAGCTTGACTTGAATATTGTTTTTTCAGTTGTATTACAACTGTAACTAACGCTGTTATAATTATGGGTGTTTTCAGATATAGTTCTATTAAAACAAGTGTTCCCAAACGGAGGACTTAAGGTTTGCGAGTGGGTCTTCAGGTTCGTCAAGCTCACTTGCCATGCTGTCAAAATGCGAGAATGCGCTGCACAAAGTGAAAGCGGAGCTTTACGGTTGGACTCAGTCCGTCACTCAATTATGTCCGTTGGGGAACTAGATATTTTAAATGGTTCAGCTCGCAAAAACGGAATTAAAATAAAACAAAATAAAAATAAATTAATATCCTGCGCCCAATAATTCGGTACAGGGTCGTGCCCAACCAAAAGTCGCGTACCGAACTTTTCGATACAAATACATGTACCATTACAGCCCTACTCTGAAGCGAACCATACTTAGACCACCTCGCTTCAAGTCTGCGGTGTGGTTCGCTTAAAGCACTCCAGGTTCGCTTGCCTTTGTATTTAGTCCTCTATATCACATGCTGTTGCAATGGGACGCCTGAAAAGAAAGACGAAACCTAGTTGGCCTGTAACGCGAAACCTAGTTGGCCTGTAACGCTTGCAAAGACGCAGGACGAGGAGTAATTTGGTTCTGTTTTTTTCAAGCGCCCCAGTTCAATAGCATGTGATCTAGAGGGCTAGATAAAAAGGCAAAGGGCAAAGTGAACCTGGAGTGCTTTGTGTTCACAAGGCACAGGTGAATGAGTGAAAAATGTTACAATTATGGCGACTCCCCTACTCTGTTTCGACCTGGCTTGAGTTAACCTAAGAAGTGTGTTTTATCGTCAGGTTTTGGGTTTGGATCAGTGACCGATCACAAGCAGAGAATAAGGTATTTACTGAGAAGACGTCACACTACCTGCGCACCCACCCTCTGCCATGGCATGTGCACCACTTGCTCCAGCGGAGGGGCTCGCAGCTGAAACAAAATGAGAGAACATTTAAATTGCTTATTGACAAACAACTATTTTTCCATACACACAACAAATGAAATGCCTTTTTATGTGATAAAAACAGCAGATTAATATTAGGTACAGAGTGGACTTTGTCTCTAAAAAGATTTTGCTGTACTAAATTTGTCCTTTTTTTGTCCTGTACAGTAGTAATCCAGTATCTTTGGTTAGAGCAACAAACTGAATGACTGCTGACTCCCTCGCACTTTTCCCCGCCCCCATTGAAATTTGATCTCTCGCAGCAGCAGACAGCTGAGTGGAGCTGCGAGTCCCTCTGCAGCTTCTGAGACAAGCTAAACAAAACACTTGTAGGCTCCTCCACTTCATTTATAAACAAACATAAACCTTATTAAGTTGTCATAATGCATGTTACAATGCAAGATAAGTTGAAAACACTCTGAAGAACGCCATGTGCCGAAACGCGTTAGCGTTTGTTTTTTTGATGTGAGCCATTAAAAGAAGTCAAATGTGAGTACTTAACTGGGCAATTTGAGATGTGCTACCATTTTTACATTTTTGATCATATTGGATTTTTGGGTTTAGCACTCTGAGTATCATCACTGTTGATGCGCAACCTCCTTTTTCATCTATAAGTTGAATATAGTCCCTTGACACAGCGCTGATGTAAAAAGCCCCCCCCCCCAGTTTATCCGGTTGACGTGAATTAAACCGGGTGGAGCTCTTAAACCGGACCGAAACTGTTAAACTGGAAATTGGCACAAGCCTGACCGGGTGGAGCTCTTAAACTGGACCGAACTGGTTAAACCAGAAATCGGCACAAGCCTACATTCAACATGTAAAAAAAAAATCCTTACATTTTGCCAGTGCAGCTATTCATGTGAAGTCAAGACCAGGTATTATCTCAATAAAACTACACATATTAAGAAATTGTAACATTTAAATTCATAAAAACAACATGTGTAATTAAGTAGATTGAGACAGGTAAAAAAGTGCTGGACATGCTAACTTAAATTTTCTTAATACGTGGCGAAGCCTCTGTTTGCAATGTCAGCTTCGAGACACTTCCTGTATGAATGCCACGTATAAATCACACTTATGCATTTGTAATGGCACAGCAGAGAACGCAGCGTGCAAGTCAATGTCATCATAAACGTAAAGGGATGCAGTCTGCCACAGGAAATGTAATCATGGTGAAAATATTAATTGAAATTTTCCCTTCACTCTTCTATCATTAGTCTCTCCCAAATCGGAGCTACAAACCTGCAAAATCTGTATTTTATTTTAAATGTGTTATGCTTTGTTATTATTTGTATTTTGTTCATATTTTTCACCTTCTTTCTTTTATACTCCGATTATTTCTTTCTTTCTTTATTTTTTACCACATTTGTTCAATATGTTGCACGTTGTTTTGCTGCTTTTATGTTCCGGTGAGCTGAAGACAATTTTTCACTCTGCTGGAAAATAAAGTTGTACTCTATTCTCGTCTTCTGTTCTACTCTTGATGGATAGCCTACCATAGATATAAATTCTTCTGGCTGAGCTTGTTTCAACCTGTGTTGCACAAAATGGCCCTCAAGCATTTACATCCATTTAGTATGACAGCTCCCAGAGCTCAGAGGATGAAGCTCAACGTGAAATAATTCAAAACAACTCCTTCTCTACAGCAGCTAATCTGTAATATCTATTTACAAAAACAACAACAACAAAAAAACACAACAGGAAAACAACTCACTGTCGCTGGGACCAGGTTTTGTGGATTGTCGACCTGCATCTTCAACTGCAAAAACAAGAAGACACAATGTTAGATTCTGATTTTTTGAAATAAAAGAAAAAGAAGAGAGAAAGAAATATGATGAAATTACAGTTTAAATTACAGGATTATTATAGGATGCACTAAGCCATATGCACACACACACACACTGAGCAGTTGGGAGAAAACGTCTTTTAGGGCTCTCTATGTCTACAAGAAAAATATCTTCGATGTTAAGTTTGGGCGAGTCGACACATGCATGCTTGAAAAATTCCTACAAAATAACACCAAGAATGCCTTCAGCCTGAGTCCGCCCCTGCTCGAAGTGAAGGTAAAAAAGACGCGGGCTAGTTCAATTGTTTATCACTTTGATTTTTAACTTCAATAATCTAGAAATAAACATTGAAAATAGCTCTTCAGTCAAACATTTTCAAATGACGACAATATACATATAAATAAAGGCAGATTTGAAGGGTTCAGTGTTCTGCAGCCGGAGTTCTCGTTTCTGTCTCCACATTGTGTCAAACCTTGTATCCGTGAGATATTTACCGAGGCTTTCTGCATCGTCGTTGCAGCCAATCTCTCTCAACAACTCCACAGCCACTCCAACAGCTCGGGACTCGGTGTAAGTTGTCACAAGGAGCTCCGCGATGTCAAGGTAGTTTTTACCCTCCACCTTGTTGCGTCTGACGTCCCCGCGGTCCAGAAGCTGCCTGCAGAACTTGTCAAAGTCTTCCTTTGACAGGTCCTCCAGCATGTCTGCTAAAACCTTTCTTTTGGTTTTTGGGGCCATTTCTCACCAATGAATCGCGAACTGCAGACCTTTTTTTGTCCAGCTCAGTGGAGGAAGAGGAAGAAGAGGCCCAGAGTCGACTTCCTAAACATCTAATCGTAAACAGATGCCGCGTTTAAAAAGGAGGAAACACGGTGCCTTCAAATGCTGTCGGAAATCTCACGATCAAATATTCTGATTATATAAATGGGACTGTTCTTTACTTACCAAAGGAGGACGGGGGTGGCTGGGCTGGGGTGTGATTATTATTATCATCATTATTATTATTATTATTATCATTATTATTATTTTAGCCTTGCCCAAAGCTACAAATATTTTTTCACATGTAATATTTTTGTGGTAAATGCATGACCCTCCCTCCACTATAAATTATTATTATTAACAGTAGCAGTAGTAGTAGTACTATTTATTCATTCATTCATTTTCTGTAACCGCTTATCCTGTTAAGGGTCACAGGAAGACTGGAGCCTATCCCAGCTGACACTGGGCGAGAGGCAGGGTACACCCTGGACAGGTCACCAGACTATCACAGGGCTGACACATAGAGACAGACAACCATTCACACTCACATTCACACCTACGGACAATTTAGAGTCACCAACTAATCTGCATGTCTTTGGACTGTGGGAGGAAGCTGGAGCACCTGGAGAAAACCCACGCTGACATGGGGAGAACATGCAATCTCCACACAGAGGGGATCCTTCTTGCTGTGAGGCGACAATGCTAACCACTGCACCACTGTGCTGCCAGTACTATTTATATTTATTTTTGGTGATGTAGGCACAAAACAAGTGAAAGACATGACAGGGAAAACACTGTGGGAGATAAGACATGTAAAATAATAATTAACACAAAAGACAAACACAGGCGTAATGGTGTAATGCAGTGGTTCTCGGAGTGTGTGGCAGCGATGCAAATCCAGGTGTGCTGTGGGATTTTGTGATAACCACTCATTATTATTGCAATATTCGACTGGGCCTATACAAAAAGTAATGAATGAATTTTTAATTGATTGTATCAGCATGTTGTAAACACCCATTTCCTAATAAAGAGGCAAACTTGACTTAATAAATATAATTTAAGACACATCACTTTATCTTACATTATGTCCAATTTAAATGGATATGTTATTGGTGTTTGGGAGTAATTTTAAAAAGTTAAACAGGAATTTTTGAATTGTTTTGATATTTAATAAATAATAGTTGGTTGTCAATTTATATTTGATA